AGAGACATGTGTGGGACATGCCCGGACATGTCTTACCCGCCCCACCCCACCCCTCCCCTGTGATTCTACGCATGCACAAGGCGCACTTGTCATTACAAGAGCTGGTTAGTTTGCCTTAATTTCAGCAGTCTCTTGAAGATGGCAACCTCTGATTCCAAAGATGTTTTTGAAACAATTGCTAAAAGCCAGCATCGAATGCTCTGACACAAGACCCCTGCCACCAGAATGCAACAAACCCTGTATGGCAACCTCAGAAGGGGATTTGTTTGATATAAATTTGACCCCCAAACCTCCCAAGCATGGGCGTAGAATAAGAAAAAGACCTGGCTTCATTGAAGAGAATATAAAGCTTTGTTATTGCAGATTCTGCAAAATATCAAATGGTATGCATGAATACAACAATGGTGTAACATGGGCCTTGCTAGAGGATCCCCAAAACTGCCCCCGTTGCTGCATTCTGCACCAGTTGTAGCTTCTGAATGCTCCTGAAGGGTAGCCCTAGGTAGAGTGCATTGCAGTAGTCCAGACACGAGATGACCAGAGCTTGAATGACTGAGCCCAGGGACTCTTGGTCCAGGAAAGAATGCAACTGGAAGACAACCCAAGATTGTCCGAAGGGTGTCCTAGCAAATGCTCTTGACCAGGAGTTACAAGTCCAGTACCTCCAAGTTGCAAACTGAATCTGTCTGGGGTAGTGCCAGAACTAAAGAGTTTGGTCAAAGTCCCAGAAGTTGAAGTTCTATATGCCCAAAGCCACTCGGTCTTGCCAGGTTTCCATTGAAGACTGTTGTCCCCCATCCAGGCCCCCACAGCCAACAGGGACTGCTCATGGGCAGCCATAGCATCATGGTTCTGCTGTATTTCTGTAGAGGTGTCATTATTTTTTAATATATCATGCAACTCTACCACCTTTTTTATTAGGTCTGTTTCTGTAAAACAAAGTAAATCCCTCTAGTTGCATATTTCATTCATGGATTTCAGTCCACCAGCTTTTTGAAAATGGCAACAATGCTATGCATGGATTTCAAGTGAACCCTGCTTGTTCCTCACACTGTCATGGATCTGCCCCCGAAGCCCTTTCTGGACACGAGTTCGGAGGAGGAGGAGGAAGAGTCTGTGGCAGCAGAGGAAATCATGCAGCTGCGCGATGACCTGGATTGGGACTCAAAGACTGCTCATCTGACAGAGCATCCTCAGCTGGATCGATGGGACGAGTGAGGGCTGAGGCCAAGTGGGACAAACTGCAACTGCAGCAAGTTGCCCAGGAGACTCCAGGAGAGGAGCAGGAGCAGCTGCTAGCTGTTAGAGAGGAGGAGGCAAGGGGAAGGAGTAGTCCACACATACCCTGATCCAAGGACATGCAGGGCAGAGGAGAGGCAGGAGCAATGAGGATCAATCACTTTTAGTGAGGATGTAACCTCGCACTTTATGTGGGGCTGCACTGATATTTCCTACTTAATCCTCTACTGATATAACATGAGCTTTGCTGGGCAACATGCTCAGTTATATGCCATTTGTGTTTGTGCTTCCATCCTGATCAGGGGTGGGTTCCTGCTGCTGCTACTGCTGCTTCGCTCAGGGATGTCCTGTGTACATGCACTTTGCACATGTGACTTTTCCTGAGGAGTGCTGGGTTTAAGGATAAATAGGTCTTTTCCCACCTTCAAAGCAGAACCAACATCCCAGCATCATCTGACAGCTTGTTCACACATTTAGCTTCTATTTCCTTCTCTTTCTCTTGAAGGCCCACGTCACTTTGAAGGATGGTTTTGCTGAAGTTTTTCTTGCTCTGGCAGAATTCTTTCAGGTTTTTCCCTGCCTGATTGAAGCGGGAAAAGAGAATAATCTGGAGCGGTATAGAATGAGGAAGAAGTTTTGCCAAAATAAATCAATTCAAAGTAAACCAACAGTCTCCCTGGGGGATGGCCTGGTTCTCAAAATGAGAGCGACAAAATGAGTATTAATTTAGCAACCTTCATCATTTTGTACCATTATTCCTTTCTTAGGTGTCTCCAAAAATTGTTTCTCCACTTTTTGGAGGTCATTTACAAATTCCTGGTGGCCACCAGATCGGGAGTAGCTTCCATTCTTGATGTTCTGCTCCAGGTTCTCAGAGAGTGAGCTCAATAAAGCTGAACAGATTTCAGAAGATTTCAGCTCATTTTTCCTGCAGTACTCTTCCTTTTTGCTATCCACAGTTTTCTGTTAGGAATAAAACAAAACAAAGCAAGAGCTGAGACTTGAAAAAGAAATCCATGTTTGTACATTGTATAAATTTGGGTGATCTCCCGTGATTAAACAGAACTTCATCACAATTTGAAATGACTCGTGCTCTTCCTTCAATTTAACTAGAATAGTGTTTCTCAACCTTGGGGGCTTTAAGAGGTTGGACTTCAACTCCCAGAATTTCCCAGCCAGAATTCTGTGAATTGAAGTCCATATATCTTAAAGCCCCCAAGGTTGAGAAACACTATTCTAGTTAAATTGAAGGAAGAGCACGAGTCATTTCAAATTGTGATGAAGTTCTGTTTAATCACGGGAGATCACCCAAATTTATACAATGTACAAACATGGATTTCTTTTTCAAGTCTCAGCTCTTGCTTTGTTTTGTTTTATTCCTAACAGACAACTCTGGATAACAAAAAGGAAGAGTACTGCAGGAAAAATGAGC